TTTCATTAGGCAGTTTGATTAATGACATTTTAAAGGAGATCCTGATGATGGCCATGCACTGGCAGCATTTAGAGGGAACAAGCATGCTTTTTTCCCCTTCTCTTTTGAAGGACAGTTTATGTTAATTGCTGTAATGTTTCCAAAATTGGAAACTAAAGTGGTAGCTCTAGAGGTAGTTCTATCCACTTCTGTTTTGATTTTATTTTATTTCACTTGTGATAAGTACACTGACAAAATTTTTTTAGTTTCTAAAACTATGATATCTGAAATGAATCGTAAGTGTAGGCATCTCAAACTATGATTTATTTTTGGAACATTGGGTGTTTGCTTTCTCTTTTTGAAAATCATGGAAACAATGCATGGTTAGTTTTTATGCCACCTTAAGATTTTGATTTGTTCTTTCATACCCTTTTTGAATGCTTTACATTTACAGTAAGTGTAGTATTTTGAGGTGGTTTTGTGTTAAAAATGAGACTGGAAGCAGTATAAAATAAATCCTCTTGGCCTTAGTACAGATTTTACATGTATCCAAGCTTCCCTCTCCTCAATATTAAAATGTAACTTTACTTTTTATTGGCATATTGACATAATTCTGTTTTGCTCTCAAAGGCTGGATTAGGGATTGGATAGAATGCAGAGTTTTTGCTGAAGCGTGGGAGCACAAGCAGTTTGCTTCAGCAGGGAGAGGCATCTGCATTGGCATGATTGCTTTTCAGTTTGAAGGAGATGCATGTAATTTTCAGCAAGCTTTGCCTTAAGCAGTAGAACTCAAGCAGTCAGGTTTTCTAGAGGCTTGTGTCTGTTGATTATCTCATGTGTGTTGAGGTGGGAATTCACTGTAACTTCATTTAGTCAGACATGCATGAAATCCCTCTGTTAGCTGGCTTCCTAGTTTTGGGAAAAGTTTCTAGGTCCAGCTTGTTTGTTTGCTTGTTTTAACCTCTGTCACACTGAACAGCAGTTCTTGGAATTGGAAATGGGATGACACAAAGACAGACTTGGAAGCAGACTAAAATTAGGATCTTATTGAATGCTCACTTAACTGTTGGGTAAATCCTAGGGATTTTAATTTCCTCTGTCTTGTTATGCATTATGTTTGCTTTGTTTGTGATGGAGAATTTAGAAAATGCACATAGTTCTTCACCAGCCAGCTTTCAAAGCAATTTCAATGCACTAGGTAACATAGAAGAAGGCAGTCAAACTCCTAGGTTGAATATTGTTTATTTCCAAATGTCTAGCTCTGTTTCTCCTCTTCATTTTTTACCACTTACATGGTCTTGCTTTTGCAAGAACTAAAATCATCTTAATGAAATAATGTGATTCATCCAGTTTTCCTTGCAATTTTATTACATTTTTTAAAGCTGAATATTGGGAATAAGCAGTTAGTAAGTAAAACGAATAGTCCCAGATATTGCAAGCAGCAAATTATACCTTCCTTGCTTTCCTGGGCTTCTGTTGAATGTGTACTTTAATGTTGGTCAGTGAAGTATTAATTTAATTTAGAATAAAGACTTAAAATCACTTCTACAAAGTTGCTGTCTTGTTTAAATTAAAACCAAAATTTGTACAAGCAATAGAAAATTTTTTACATTATATTTAATAGTGAATACCTAATTGGCTCGCACCATTTTTGGAATCCAGTCAGTGGCAGCATGTTTTTAAGATTTAGGAATCAGAAATATGGATGCACAGAAAGGGAAAATTGCTGCTTTTGCTGAATAGATTTCAATATTGCTTGGAATTATGTTTATCTCTTATGACTTATGTTTTTCTTTTGTTTTGAAAGATTTTTAGTATATTAGAAGAGCACTTGCAGTGTTCTAATGAAGTAATTAAAATGAATTTATGTCTGCATGGCATTATGGATGGGTTTCTGTTCTGTAGCGTGCAACTGGTATAGTGTGGACTGACAATAACTTTCCTCATTAATTTTGCCGAATGTTGCTGGATGTTTTCCAGCTTTTTTGGCCAGGTGATCTGTCAGGATATGTGAGTTATCTTTAAGGAGGTGCACTGAAAAAAGACACGGGGAATACTGAAGCTTTTTGAAGCTCTGCTTATTGTCTTGTTACAAACATGTCTCTGACTTGCCTGGATTGTGGAAGTCCTCATGTTTTGTCCTTAATGGCCAAAGAACTTGAGCATACCTAAAGGTTACAAACTGCAGTGTCCAAGTGTGTCTCATGCTTCCTAGAGAGAGAGGCAAAACGTGCTTCATACCTGTGGTGGTTCAGATTTATACTCAACTCACAGGACAGTCTTAATTTTGTGCTATTCAGCAAAAAGATTTATTGAATGAGAGAAGTGTAGTTTTGAAGTCTAGTAGTTAATCCATTTTTCTGGGAAATGGGAAATGCAGGCTGTAATTCCTGTAAATTATTCCTTGCCTTTATTAGGTCTCAGGTTCTGGCTGTTACGTGCTGTACTTGAAGCAGCATCTGTTTGCTCTTCTATTTCTTAGATGGACACTGCCATTAAAATTGCTGTTTAGTGTTTTTTAGGTGCATTGTTCTTTCTTCGTATGGCTAGTTGCTTACAAGAAATTGGATGAACTATTTTTAGGCATTTTTTCAGTGTAGGGCTTGGTCACAAATGCTGTGGACTCATTCCAATGTCATGGGGCAAATCTAGCTTTTCAGTTCCCTACACTACTTGGTCCTGCAGTATATTTTTAGCTTTTGTTCAGTTCTCTAAACTGTGATGGTTGTGGTCTTTTGGATATAAACTTCCATAGAGTAAGCTGGCAACAACAGGTTTTATTTGCTTTTGCTGGAAATTGGATTTCACCTAGTGATGATATTGCTTGCTTCGAGCAAAACTATCCATTTTTATTCACTTCTGCAATTCAATAACCCTTTCAAGAAAGGAGCTTGTTTCCTTAGCCTTTCTAACTGGGAGCCATATGGGAGGGGCAGGGACAGAAATCCAATGGCATCAACCTGGTACTGTCTCACTCCCCACTTACCCTAGCATCTGAGGCAGAGCCAGAGGCAGTTGTGTTGTTCCTTGGCAACATATCTGGGGCTAATTGTGTCCTATTCTGTCTCATGAGACTCCTTCATTTTCTCTGTGCCTAAGGACTAATGTTTTATGTGGGTAGTAGATGATTTTTAGATGGGTGTAGAAATCCCTTCTAGTGATTACATGCACCTTGAAAAAGGGCAGGACTGGATTTATAGGCCTCTGAGTATGACCTTTGCCTGTTGGTTCCTCTGTATTTTTCCTTTTTCATTTCCTGCATGAATAAATGTACTAATTTGTGAGTTTATCATTACTGCTTTATAAATCATATTGTAATTACACATGAAGGTTGCTATCTGGTGAGCATTTTGTAGTACTAGGGACTCCTAGTTGAAGCTAAGAGACTGTATCTTCTTGTGACATCACAAGAAAAAATTTTCTAAGGAAATAATCCCTTAAAGCATTTCAATGTAGTTTCCAGAGTGATTGCACAACTAAGGATCAGGTACTAAGAGCTTATCTTGTTTATTGATCCTCATGAGTATATTAAAAACTGACAATCCTGTAAATTTCTACTGCTTTTTAGTACAAAGCCATAAATACTGTACATTTACTAGTGGAAGGCTCTGTGGGAACATTGTTGGTCGGGAGTAAGCAGGCTGTTTTGATTCATTTGGTGTTTTCTGCCTTTCTTACTTCTCTTTAAACACTACTGTTTACACTTTTGCTAAGTACAGTTTGACAGTGGCTAAAATACTGGTGACAGCCAGAGTTAGCATTTACCATGGGTAAACATTAACTCATTATCATTGTCATTGGGGGCAGTAGTGACAAACTGGGTGGGGAGTGGGGATGGTGGAGGAGGGAGCAGTGGTCTAATTAAAACCCAGCCTTTGGTTACCTTTTTAACCTGGGAAGGGAGAAGATCTTCAACTAGACAAATCCTATTTTAAAAATTGGGTAATTAATAGTCCTACTCTAGCATTTTGTATTGTTTTCAGTAAAAATGCAAAGTGCCTTTATCATTTCCACCTTTCAAAAGACACATAATTGAGAACTATTTTGTTACTTGAGGTGCTTCATTGAATTGCCTTCAAAAAGGAGATTTTTTTTTTTCCCCCCCATCTGAACGAACATAGTTGTTTGCTGAATGACCATATATTAAGATTGGATTTGTGCCCTGCATAGTCCTATCTTTCCAAGGATTGAAAAGGCAGAATGGCTTGACTCTAGTTTATTTCTTGTAGCAAAACCAGACCTAACCCATCATCTCCACATTGATCTTAGAATTAATAGTTTATGACTATTTAATGATCTCTCAGCAATCTTTCAAATTTTTTTTTTCATTCCTTCAACTAATGCTGGGGTCGTTTACTGCATTCTCTGTTTTCAAGTGGTGTTTGTCCTCTAGTGGGCAGACTGACTTCTGTAATGCAAGAGCCACCAGCTTGTTATCATCAGTGAAGTATGCAACCATAAATTGGGAGCAAGAAGATGACCATTTTTAGATGTTTGAACATGATTTCACTCAAATGTCGTGATATGGGGTTTTTGAAGTTATACTCTCCCCCTTGAAATATTTATTAAGATATTTATTTAATCTGTCTACTGGGATCCTGATTTTGGGAGGAATAGTAGTTGCAACTATGCTAGCCTGGGTGTTTTTGAAGAGGAGGAGGGGAAGTCTATGAAAGCAAAGAATATGGTCCTTCTGGTTTGAAAGGTTCTGGTCTAGCTGCCAAGGGTAAGAGGATGCCATATAGGGAGAAGGGAGGAAGGATAATGTCTAAGACCCTTTACTGGAGGTAAGTAGCCAGTATTTAGATATTCACAAAAACTTCACGGCTGTTCTTTGAAGCAACTCGGAGAATAAAAACAATTTTAAGAGAATTGTGAGTGCATCACTATTACTTTAATTCCAAAGTTCAACTTTGTATCTCATTCCATTATTTAGTGTTAGTAGTTAAAATATCCCAAAACACCCAATCTTCTCACCTATCACCTAACTTTCTTCATGTTTCTACTTGTTTTATTTCTAGCATATTATCAAGTTTCACCGTGCCTCAAAAGCAAATAAAAAGCCCATGCAGTTGCCAAGATCTATGGTTAAATCCCTCCTCTACCAGATCCTCGATGGAATCCATTACCTCCATGCAAACTGGGTGCTTCACAGAGACCTGGTAAGTGTGGCATGTGACACCTGTCCCAGAGCGCTCCACGTGTGTGTCGTTGGGGAGGACAAGAAAAACCCTGTTCGTAATCTGGCGTATCGATCCCTACAGCTCTTCCTGTTATTGTTGCAGGAGCTCAGTTGTGACTTTAAACATGAAAACAAACTATACTTTCACATTGTTTTTATCTGAGTCATCTGAGCTCAGACAATGATGCCAGATCCGGTAAAGGGATTGCAGATATCAATATCCAAAACCAGTATGTGAGACAGCTGATACATGTTGGGTGAACATTCTTACAACTTTTCACATGACTTTGAAAAGGCATCTAAATAGGAGAGTGACTGATACCCTTTTACATTGTTTGGCTTACGTGCAACTTAGCATAAAAGCTAGTGAAAGAGTAGTTTTTTCATGGAGTATTTCTTTTCCATGTGGTATTTTTTCTGACCGTGGGAAGAGAACTATAAAAGAGTTATCATCTTGAAGTTTCTCATGACCTGGAGTAGCTCTTGAAGTTGATTACAGATTACAAGGGCAGCCAGTTGCCTTGTCTTAGTTCCCCTTTTCCCCTTAAAAGTTTTCCATTGCTCGTCATAATTACGTGAAGTGCTACCGTGGTTTATGAAAAGAATACTAGTACAGGTGTGCTTCCACTTGCATTCTAACTAGAATGTTTGGCATAAAGCAATGTGATGGTTAATATGCCAAACAACGCTGTTAGGTATGGTAACCTGTCTATAAAGTCACTGCTTTTATTTTGGTTATTTTTGGTTTTTCATAATTGCCCCAGCATGTCAAAATAGGGCTGTGTGTCCAGAAACTTAGTCACTAATTGTTCTTGAGTTTTTGATAGTAAGTAGGGACTTTGATTAATCTTTGGTTGTAGACCAAATTTTTTTTTAATAATAAGTAAAAAGTAAGGCAGGCCTGCAATACAAGTCACAAATATTTTCTGAACTGAATTTTATTTAATTTTTTTGTAATACCTAACAACAGTGGCCCGAGTGGGTTTCAGTTTTCATTATGGAATTTTTTTTTACTCTGTTCCTTGGTTGTTTATCGTTGGTTTTTCTGTTAAATTCCAGATGTTAGTATATTTGGGGAGGGATAGGGAGTGTGGTTTGCCTTTGGAATAGTAGCCAGGACCAAAAAACAGGAAGCATGTACAACTCTGATTTTCATGTTACAATTACTACTTTGCTAAAGAGTCAGGTGCTGCTTTGGCAGAGTGCTCAGCTGTGATTAGCTCCAGCTTGAGAAGTAACACCTGGGAAGTCTATATCCAGCTCTAAGGGCGACACACCTCTTCGTGGAACTGTTAATTACATATACACTTAAATGCCATACATGAACTCGTTATTTTGATAGGAAATACGAGACGGTATTTAAGCTAATAACAACAAATAGCCTTGAGAACTTTCTTGCTGGTGTTGTTATTTTCAGCCTGCAGCACCAGGTGTTTTGTGTGACTGGTGCTGCTGCTTTGCAGTTCTTACCTGTTGCTGATGACTTGCAGCAAAGCTGTTGTCTAATGTCTTTTCTTTTGGAATGTTGGGAGATGATGGTTTCCACTGTGAAAAAGACTATGTTTTTTTGTTCTGAAATGATAGTGCTTGAATGATGTTAGCATTATTGAGAAGGGAGAAGAATACTAATTTGTGAAGTCTTAGTGTGTTCTTGGTCTGCAAATAAATGTAAGCTGATGGATTCTAGTATGCCTCAGTAAGACAAAGGAAACCATTTCAAAAATTGCTTTGATAAGTTAATGATTTAAAAGTATAATCAGAATCCTTTGCCTTTTAAATTTTTTTTCTGGATTTCTGAAGAATTCAGGTACATCAAATAGTTATATCTTGACCATGGTAAGAAAAAAACGTTATTCTGGATGTGTCCTTGTGTCTGCACTTGAAATTAGAGGTTAATATAACTAGCAACCAGTTTAAATCCTGGATTAACCAAGATTTTTTTTTTTTATCTTTAATTTTTATTTGTATGCTCGTGCTTGTAATTTTTGCTACTAAGAATGATACTCAGATACAGTTTCACTGGCATCAGTTCCTTGCATAATACATAAATACCAGGTCCTCAGTGTCTTCTTAAGATATGGAACAGCTTTTCTGGTGGTTTTCTCTTAGCTGTTTGAATTTACAGCTGCTGGAAAAAATATTTTTGTATGTTATGGAAACCAAGTTTTGCATCAAAACACCTTGTACTTTCTTGGTTTAATATAACTCTGTTCTTACTATTTTTAACCCCTATTTGGATGAAGACCAAAAGTGGTGACATCCATAAAAGTCATGTTATGTTTATTTCATTGCTCAATAAAATTAGATTCTCCGAGAAAATTTATCATAATATTAGTCAAATTCTCCTGAGCCATGGAAATTACCTCTGTAATTTACTTAACAAATGTTGTTGTGAAAAATCAGAAACCTGGGAGGTTAAGTATTTGCTTAGAGGTATTTGAAGAACATTGTTTAAATCTTAATTTACTACTGCCTTAAATCAAAGAGATTTTTGAAGAAGCTGTAATACCAAATTCATTGCTTAAAAACCTTAGAATTACTAAGATATTTTTTAGTTAAATCATTTTTAAGCTCAGCTGTAGCCAGCAAGTGCATGACAGGGTGATAAAAGTGGTGAACAATGTGAACTTGCCATGTGTCCTTTCCTTGGGCTGAGCTCATGGATGGCTGTTACTGCAAGGACAGAGTCTCCTTCCCCTCTTCTCTGCCTGGCAGGGGACACTCACCTGGCTCCTAGTGAGCTCATTCAGGGAGTTAAACCCACACCAAGTGTCACAGAAAGCTTTTCACCTGCAGAGCTTGTTTTCTGCAGGGTTAGGTCGCAGAGGAACCACACTGGGCGCTTAGCGGGGTGTGCAGGAGCTGGTGCAGAGGCAGCGTGAGGCAGGAGGTGGTGGCAGAAAGCTCAACAGAGGCCATTCAGCATCACCTGTCATTAGATCTGGTTATTTTATTGTTAAAATGCACTATTTTGATTCTTAGGAGGGAGTACAAGTGTTCTTATAAGATTAAATTGGTGAAACTTTGTAATGCAAGACAGCAGTTTAAGACAGCCAATGCAAGTTCAGTTTAAGGAAAGTGCTCAAATTAAGGCAAACACCAAATAGACTTGTACTCATGCTTCAAGAAATTGGAAACTAATTTGGTGTTTATCTTTCAATTGTTTGTAGTATTTGGGTTATTTTGACTCTGGCTTTTGTATCCTGAGAGTAGCTGTAAGGTGCTAAGTTACTTTCTAGGTATTTTTTTTAAGCTAAGCTCTTAATTTCAGTTAAAAACCATTCAGCCTTTTTGGCAAGATTCAAACAAGTATAGACTATGGGACAGAAACACTGGGTTACTGATTTCTTTGAATAGCCTTGTGTCAGTTTATACGCCTTGGAATTGCCTTAAATCTGTGAAAATCCATACATTTGTTTTCCTGTGAGCCCATTTGAGTGGGATTTTGCTGTTGAATTGCATGTCATTGGGCAATGATAATTTTACCTTTTCAGCATAGCAGTGCTCCTGATAGCTGTGTGCAAGAGGAGGGAGGATTTGCTGGCTTTGCTAGCTGCTGGAGTGTTTCATTATGAACAAGAGGTTAATAGAGATAGATATTGGAGAAAAAAAACCTTTGAGTATTATGCTTTTGGCTTTTTAAAATACTCTATATACACTGTGGGCTGTCTGCTTAAAGGGGGTCTAACCAGTGCTCCTCCATACCTTGAGGTAAGAGCAAGCACTTGAAGTACACTATTTCAGAGTGTTCTGAGGTCTTTGTCCCCTCCTCTCCTAGAAGGGAAATATTTAGATTATACAGGATTTTCAGCAAAGGTCTTAGCTTGCCAAGATGTCAAAAAATGGAGATCTTCCATATAGTGTTTGCAATGTCTGTTCATGTTAGCAACCGAAAGGATTTGAGCACTTTCTTGTTCTAGCAATTCTTCTGTAGATTAGTTGCTTAAGGTCAAAAGCAGATAGAGACCATATCCTTTATAACCTGATAAAAGCAATTTCTATTTGTAACAGAATGTATTTTCCTGAAGGGAGGTGTTATCTATGGGATGTTTGAAGTGCACAGAATCCAAATGGAGAAATTAATTTAAGATTAAAGTTACATACCTTGGGCATGTCTTTAGACTGTTGCTTAATATTAAAATGACTGGTTAAAAAATGAATGTTGGAAATCAAACTCAGCAGAGAAATGCAGATTTCTTCTTCCCCTCCCCAGGGAGTTAAGTGGTTGCTCTAAGGATTCTGAAATAGAAAACTTGCTTGTGATGGTCATATAAAGTAACTTTGTAAAATGAGCAGTTGTTTAAGTATTTATATAATATAAACATTAATCTGGGCACATCTATGCCTGTGTGGGGTTTTCTCAGTGTAACCCATTCTCTCCAATCTTTTCACTCTAATTTCACTAATTCACTAAGGAGAGGGAGGAGGAATCAAGTTATGGTAAAGACTTTGCTACTGATTTCCTATATTCAGCTTTTTTATTACCATCTCCTTGTCTCTTAAAGAAGGATGAAATAATATCTGTGTTCTGTAGTTTGTTTCACTATGTCATCTGTATTGGGAGAAGTTATTTTCATTGTGTGCTTAAGCTAAGTGGTTTCTGTTTCTTTATGGAGTGGATTAAGAAGGATCTGTGTGCTTCTCCCACCTTCCGAATTTATGGAGAGCTAATCTGGGCAGTTTTGGTGAAAGGACATAGCAGAAAATTGAGGCTGACGTAATTTTGACTCTGCATGTCTGTCTGTATAGTAAATATCTATATGCAGCCTTTAGGGTGCTCAGATATGTGAGCTCTTGGATTCTGGCATCTTAACAATACCCTGGATACCCAGCTGGTGTAGGAACAGGAAGCCAAGGGTATCTTTCCAAGGGTGAATTTTGAGCAGAGCCAAGAGATGCCAGTGTGGTGATGTGGCTCCAGCTGGCTGTGATTGCACTTAGGGCAGGCTGTCTTCTCCATGGTCCTGCTCCACATCTCTT